GGCAGGAGTTGCTGTGAGAGGATTTGGATAAAATATGGCAGTTCTGCTGTACATGGTGGTGATGCACAGGGGGTAGTTTATAGTATTTACTGTTTAGAACACCAAAATTAGCTTGGAAGCTAGCTAGTTCTTAAAGACTTGCACAGAGGTGCCTTTACACAGCATAATGAAATTCTAACATGGCACAAACCAAAGATGATGATGGTTCATAAAGCTTAATTTTTCAAGGTTATAAGATAGAACTGTTGGATAAGAAAAAACAGGTTTTGGTGTGTTCTGTCACTTTTGATAATGGCCACAACAAAACAAGATACTTCTGCCAATCCTTTTTAAACATTCAAAATGCTTATGTGTCAAGAATAAAGTAAGAATTATCAGAAATAAGACAGGGAACTTCCTTGCTGAACTACAAAAGAAAACATGAAAAAGAAAGAAAACCAGAAAGAAGTGAGTCTATAGAGACCAGATCAGTTCTTAGACAGTAGTGATAGACTTAGACTTAACCGAGGATATAATACATCAGTAAAGACCTCAGAGGTTAAAGACCTCTCCACGTCTGCTAAAAAATAATTGACAATCAGATTGTTATGCTTAGTTGAACCTGAAGGCGACACAGTCTGGAAGCACATCATTTAGTACGCTGATACATAAGTGGAACTGTTATGTTATATGCGTTTGGGAAATAATGAAGATGCACAAAACATCAAGAACGTCATTCACAGACTGAAACCAAAACCAAAAAACACTACCGTGAGATATTCATAAAGGTTATTAATATCAACTAGAGTACTATTAGACTATTAGTGTCAGGGTAATACTTACTGTATGTCTTATGGACTTAGTGTTGCAGAGTACAGTAGATACTAATTAAATACTAATTAAAATACTATGTTATTATGATGGTGTATTACTCATGGTATTGTACAAATGTAATTTAAGAAAATATTTTAGTAAGACTAAAGTCCATATTGTTAAATTATTTTTTTAGCTTACAACTACATCAAAGTCACATGATTAAAGGAGGTACAGTTATTTGGTACTGATGTTATTTGATACTGGTGATTTATTTGGCTGTAGAGGATATTAATATTGTGCAGACTTGAGTATTTTTAATGCAGACTCAAGTCCATGTGTGAGTGATGGTTTAAGCTGTCCTTTTAAATGATGCTTCAGATGCAGTCTGTTCTCAGCTTGTGGTCGGGTCCAGAAAGGGAGACACAGGATACGGAGTGAGGACAGATTTCTCAGTGATGTCTTCTCTCTACTTTGAAGCATCATCACTTTTTCTCACAATTCTGACTCTACAGTTATAAAGATCAATGGGTGTCTGACCCTGAACACATAAACATCGCTGCTGTCTTCTTTTCTATTGCTGTCATGTTTTCTGCTTTCTTCTAATGGCCCCTTTTTGTCTTCACAGGTCTCAGTCTACCTTTGTCAAGCTGAGGCTTGCAGTACAGTATGTGCTTTGAGTTGAGACTTGTGATCCGTATGTATGCTAACTGAAAAATACTGAGTGGTTAATCAACCACCTTTAAATTATTCCACAAAGGATATCATACTTTTAAAGGGCCAGTAGTGATTGCTAGAATTGTGTGTTTTTTGTAAAATACTGGTTCATCTTCAATAGACGTGGACCTGAAGGAGGTGCCAGCCTGCGAGTTAGCAAGGCATAAAAACGTCATTGCAACCAATCAAGCACACAAGTTAAACTGCCATCTGCTTAAAGGCCAACCTTTTTAAATTGTGTCCGACAAACTGCTTGTTGCATTGCTGCCGATCTCACACTAGAATTGGAAATGACGACGCACATGAGTTGCTTTATTGCAGCCTACATTAGTAGTGTTTAGAACACTTTTACTAAACGGTTTGTTCAAAACCTTATATGTAATGGGATATTAAACATGCAGCAAAGAAGGTACAATGTGAATGATTCAGCAATTCCTGGCAGTAAAGTATTAAAATGTTGCTGCTGAAGTATTATAACCCTGAGGTATAATTAAGATACATACATCATTTAGTTAATTATAGATCAAACCATTTTGGGAGTTAAACAATATTTCTGCCTTCCAGGTAAATGTAAAAAATTCATATTCAAATTCTAACCAGGGTAAATATCACCAGATTCATTTTCGCTAATTGACTTTGGTCCAAAGGATGAATTAGAGATTATTAGCCTTATCTTTCAGTAGAAAAAAAATACCATAACATCAGTTAAAGGAGGTCTGCATTTAAGTAGAAGAACTATTAAATGCATGTCTGTGTCAAAGGCTCAGGACTGCTTGTTAGTGTTTTATAAAAAACAATATTTTTAAAAAGTAGAACATCTCCTTCAACAATCAACTCTATTGAATGCTGAGTTAATACTGCACCTGAGAATTTACAGGCCACTGTGTTTGTTTGTGGGTGTGTGTGTGTGTGTGTGCACGAGAGAGAGTGCGTTGCCAGGTCTGCAGTATCAGCCCAGCCCATACCATCTGTAGAGCTGCTGCAGGCTAGGGTTATGGAGCATCGCATCACAGCTAGATTGTGTTTTAGACTCAATTAAACAAGCAACAGTAACAATATTTTTTTGATTGGTCAATCCTTATGTTTAATCCCATTTTATTTCATCGTCTTTTGTTGTTGTGTATAACCTAGTCACCTTTCCATTATGGTCTAGACAGTTTTTAATCTGCTGTTTTAACATGTTTCCATTTTCTTTTCTTGATGGATGCTTAACAACAGAAGAGATAACAGGCAGAGTTACCTGCTCTCTTCCCACACACTCCTAACCAGTCAATCAAACCTGTATCAATAAAACCTGGCCGTCATTTCTTCTTTTTAATTTGGCGACTAAAGTTAAAAAAAAAGAAAAACACGAACATGTTGTAGGTTCACTTCAGACCTGCTGTGCATGTTGAGGCCCAGGTGTCAGACAAATAAATGTCATCTGTGTTCCACACTTGTTCCTTTAACTGTGATATTTAAAACCTTAATTTACATCACCACAGTGTCTGACAGAATGTAAGAGTCCTGAATGCAGTATGGGAAAGAGGCCAGATTAGGGTAAAGAATGTGACAGGTGGGGTAAAGACAGCTGCCTGACTGTCACAGTTTAAGTTTGTTTCTCCCTTCCCCCACATTTTCACCTGTACTTTCTTTTAAGACATCAGGACACAGGAAATAAAGCAGTACAAACAGCTCATGTGGACAGCTGTCGCCCTTTTATGTATGGCCTACAAGAGGGGTTCGACATGGGGAGCAGAGGGCACGTCTGTCCAAAACTGAAATTAACTCTCTTATAAAAAACAGGAGCGTGGCTGATGCTTCATAAAGACTCGAAAGCACACTGGGCTACAAAACCCTGACAGTGTGAGTTCTGTCAGTTCAGGAGACCAGAATGTCCCTGTTATATTATCTTCAGTCCATCTACAAACAAAATGACGTGTCCTTCGCTAAAAATATTGGTACAAGTCTTATATGTAACATGAATTGATTCCTAAATAAATGTTTTTTATTCTTCCTCTATGATTAGCTTTCAACAACATAAGGACTGAGGACTTTGAAAAGGTCAGGTAACAGTTTCTGGTTGTGCATAAATATGGTTATAAGCACATAGTTGTTTCCATTTATTGCCAACATAAATACTGAGTTTAAATTGTTCTTTCAAATTGGGTGATGTAAAGACTTGATATTGGGTTTGTTAAGGTACCAGATCATGTTGCATGGAACTTGCAATAATAACTTAGACATTTTAACTTCAACAAGTGAAACATAATATAGTAGTTAAATGTCAAGGACAAAACAAGTCACAACAATTACTGTTAAAGGAGAACTGTAGGTCAGCAGAACTAAATTAACACCTTCACAAGTTTCCTTCATTTTTATTGCATTGATCCCTAAGACGCTTTTATAACCAGATATTTTATTATAGCTGAAGAGAGAGAGCCTCCTCTACAGACTGTGCCAGAGGAAATTTTATGTCAGAGTGGATGTCTCACCGGCCTTAACCAGAGAAGACCACAGAACAATTTGTCATGTCTTCATGGACATTAGTGTCTCTGCAGCCGTGCCCTACATTCTTTGTCAGCGAGGCTCTCATCACTGTCCAATATCAACACTGTGGCCAGGAGGGATCTCCCACGTGATGTTTTTGACCAGGTCACGGTCCAGTGGCACTAAGCAGTGCGTAGCCTTCTTTCTGCGAACCCCTCCTCTCCTTCCCTCTCTCCACAGCCAGCATTTATCTCTCTGCGTGGTTTTGGCATGGATCTGCTTTTCCCAGCGTTTAGCAAGGGGAGGGAGAGAGGAGGGGAGGTATGGAGAAAAGGAGGCCTTTTTAAACGCCGAATGATGGACGCTTTATTAAAAGAGGCTGGGCTTTTTCAGAGCCTGGCCCCTCTGTTGTGGCCCCCCAACCCTTAACATCCCGCGTGTCTGGCCCATTGTCACGGGGCCGTGGCAGCAGCACCATGTACCCACCTACCCCCTCCACCAGGGGCTTTGTCACTGTAAGTCACCTCACAGACTCAGGCAGAATCACTTGGGGAAAAAAACGCAAACCCATTCTCCGCAGTAACTTTAAATTATTCTGGTGTGAAAAAAAGATTGTCTGACTGTCAGAAAACATAGAGAAGGACGCAGAGACGGCTGTGACACACAAGGGAGAGGGCAGCGAGTAGAGAAGAGGGATAAAGTTAAAGTGACAGGGCCTTGGTGTGCAAGGATGAGGCGCAAGGTAAAACTGGAGGGTTGACAGAGAGATGGAATAAATGAAAACTAGGAAGTTTTTTTTCCACCAAGTAAAACACATTTTAAAGTAATATTAAAAAAAACGGCAGGGTTTCAGAAGCCACCTAGTGATGAGTAAGTGAGGCACTCGCTTCTCTTTGGTCGATGTGTGAAATGTGTGTCTTTAGATACAGACAGCATACCTCTAGAGATAAACTCTTGGGTCCCCATCACCCCCTTTTTTTTTTACCCCCACCCACCTCAGTCTCTCCACCCACCACACAAGTGTATGCGTCTGGCCATGTGAGTGTGTGTGTGTGTGTGTGTTGGTGTTTACATCGGACATTGGGTCTGTGTGCCTTGCACCGCGGCACTTGCAAGGGGGCAACAGAAAGAGACAGCTGTGTGCTTGGGAGACTGAAAACATAAGAAAGAGAGAGTGGAGAGAAATGCCAGTCAAGACTGTCACTGTTGGAGTGAGTACCAACCATGTTACTGTTAACCTTCCTCCATTCCCTCCTGTTCTTCTTTCTGCCTTTCTAATCACTCTCTCTATCACTCTTCTCCAGCTCTCCTCTTGTTTTGGCAGTTTTTTTTATATCAGGTATAAAATCTCAGATGTCCTGCACCTGTAACTCTTCTCTATCCTTTATCCTTTCACTTGAGTTAGTATTGGAGTAAGACCCTTGCTAGTTTGCACTACATGTCCTTGATGTACTTTACTGTGTTGTTATGTTCTGGTCTTTTTCCTAACTACATCTTTATGTTTTGTTTCTGGGTTCAATGTGATTTCTGTGCATCTCTTTGGTAGCTGTGGTAAGTCAACATTGAAGTTTTTTTTTTGTGCCTATTTCTGTTAAAGTCATCATATTATATTTAAATATTATCATATCAGACACAGCATGGGTTTGTTAGGCTTCACCAATTCAGAATAGGAACCTGAAGGTTCAAGCCAAGATTTTTAACTCACTTTAAACCTAAATGTAGCTAATGCTGATGATGATGAGGACTTTTGAATTTTACATGGTAAAAATGTAAATGTCATTTTACACTAATCCAAATTTGTATCTTTTATCACCTGAAATCAGTGTAGAAAAATATATATTTAAAGGTGTTGTTTTTTGCTGCAAAGAACAATTTATAATGTTTTAACTATAACTCTAATTTAATCTAATCTAATTTTATGGTGTTGACTTTTAGTCTTTTCTTTTTACTATTTTTTACTAAGATCCTTTAGCTATCTTTTTACTTGACAAATGTTTTGTTTTCCTTTGGCCTAATTTATTTGATAGTCCTTGTTTACCCTTAACTTTCTCAGTTTTAACATGTTGACGCGTGCATGTAAAAATATGTATGTAAGACATTAATAATAAAGGTATCTAATCCTATATCTGATGATTGGACAACATTCTAAATACCCTTGTGTCCAGGAGTATGATGGGAGGGAACTTAATGGCTTGGCAGTATCTATAAAAATGTGATGTGTGTTTGTCCAAGATTAGTGCTGAGTGCGTATTTGCCTAAGTGTGGATCGCTTTCTGTTTTCCACCTTAATCTCGTCTTCATGTGCTAATGTTTGGTGTTCAGATTTTATGATGTATGACCAGGATTAGCTGTGGTAAGTTAGCTACAAATCACTAAAGTGATTAGAAAGATCCATTAATGAGAGGCTTTTAATGTGGAGTCAATAGACTGCTTAATCTGGTCATAGGGCAGAGGTCAGAGCAACACAAAGCCCCGATGCATTGATTAGCATATGCACAGTTTTATCCAAAATACAGCAGTTGAACTGGGTGAGGTGTTAAACTTGTACTTGCAGACTAGTTGCAGACACTGTCTAAAAATGGACTGCTGTCAGTTTACAAGGTGACTTTGTATTATTAGGAACATCAGAGAAATTGGATTACAAAGAAATTAAATTAATTAATGTGAGAATAATTAAACTGAAATGTTTAAAAATTAGCACAAAAATGTTATTCTTTTGTTTGGGTGTTTTGTCATGTATTTAATGTTGGGCTTTGATCAGTGTTTCAAAATGATTACCTTTTCACTGGGTTGTTTTTTTTTTGTTGTTGTTGTTGCTGCTGTGAGTTTGTTTCGAGAATGTTGTTCATTCTGTTTACTCCTATTACAGTTCTTTTAAAATGTTTTAAATACATTTGATCACGTTCTTAGGTGAAGTTCACTAATTGAAATATTTTGAGAGAGAGTTTGGTTTAAATGGTTTAAAGATTAAATTAAAAGTAGGATATTTATTATTATTCTGTTACATTTAATGTTATTTCTTTTGTAATTCTAAGCAACATTTTAAGGCAACTTTGAAAATTGATAAAAAAATTTAGTTATAGGTGTTGTTATTTGTATATTTTGCAAATGAGTAACACTACATTTCATAGTAGAACTTTTGGTTAATCTGTAAGTATTTTTGAAATTGTAGTTTCCTATTTCTGTCCAACTTTTTTAAACACTTTTAACGATTTAAAGCTTTTTTCTTGTTGAGAGAATGTATGAAAAATAGCTGAAAAGTCTGGCCCTAGTGGCCTGTATTTAATTTACAGCATCAATGTTTAACAGCAGTGTATTTATATCAAACCTAATTACTGTCTTTAGTATGGCTGGAAGAACACTCAGCCTTCTGGTATTTTTACATTTTTAAGAGTCACTACGTCCTGTGTATGATAGCCCCCAGTGTTACATCAGGTTTATATTAAATCACATATATTTCATGTTGATTTGCTAAACGCTGTTCGGTTCATACAAAAAGTCTTTCTGCTCTGCTACTGTTCAGTGAAACAGGATGTTTACAATAAGTTGAGCCTGCGCTCCATAGGTTTCCGTTCCCCCCTTGAGTCTCTCACCCTTTTTGTCAACCCTACAAGAGATCACAGTAACCATGACAATCTCATCTACAGGCACTGAGGCTACAGCAAGGCAGGGTGCAAGGAGACAATGAGAATGGTAGGGAGAAACAGTGGGATAGAGAGGAGGGAGGCTGGGAGTGTGAGAAAGTAAATAGTAAAAATGGGTCAAGACACTGTGTGACATACAGGGAGAAGCAGACAGAGCAGTGTTAAGACAGATAGACGGGGTGACGTACAGACACTCTCTGTTCTGTTTCTGAAAGATTCTGGCAGCTCTGTCCTAGTGTGGCTTTGCCCCTCGCTTCCTGTAAATGCATCCATAGCTGAGTCGTCCCCTGGGTCTTAGCCTGACTGACTCTATACTTAGACACATCTGTAGCTGGAAACAGCTGCCAGCCTGTTCCACCTATAGCAGCGGGTGAGATAAATGCAGAGATGGCAGCCCAAAAAAAAAAAAAACGTGAGAGAGGAAGGAAAAAATCAATTCCACAGACAAATGCAAGTCAGCAGAATTGGATGATGAAATAGCTATTTAAGCAATCTGCAGGAATTTCCATATCTGATGTTCAGTGCCCTCTTAAAATGTGAAGAAACCGCCATGATATTGTACAGCTTCAACGGAAACTCACGTGAAATTCAGAAGAGTAAGGAAAGCAGACAGTTAAGAGTTTGGAGCTGTTGCTATATAGATTGTTGACTTAGGTTTAGGGAATTCATGCAAACGAAGCAGGAATTGAGACACCTTTCTGCTGGCTACACAAAGAGCTGCGGTGGCATTTCAAATATTTATGATTTGCACCTGGTGCTGTAACTGCAAGTTTCTGTGTGTGTTTGTGTGTGTGTGTGTGCGTGTGTGTGTG